TCAGATGCAGTCTCAAGTAAGTAGGGTATTGTCTGGGAGGGGAATGCCTTTGAGGTATAATCAGGGTCATATTTCACCAGGGATGACACCTCCTAAGCAAAAGATGCTCAGCTTCTGAGATGCCCATTAGCAATGGAAGGAGATTACAAAGGGAAACAGTTATAGATAGGGCTGAGGGTATTGAGCCTGGAAAAGAGAAGCTCTAGGGGATTGTGACAACTGCCTTCGAATATTGCCGAGGTCTGGAGAAAGGGTTTCTCTCCACAGCGAGGAGTCTAAAGCCCTCTGTGATGGGGTGTACTTGCTGCCGGGTCCCCCCACCCTCCCCACCACCGCCACGAGCATCTCACTTTCGTTTTATAAAAGCTCTTGTTCCCTTCAGTTAGCAAACAGTAACTTGATTCTACTAAATCAATATGCATCACTGAATCACAGAAGGGGCAGGACACTGTCACAAGTTGACAAAATACAGCAGGTCCCAGCTCGGCTGGAGTTTCTGTTCAGGGAAACTCAGGCAAGAAACAAGCCAAAGAAGAAGAAATAGATCGTTGCAGGTGCGGATGAGTGCCACAATAAGAGGAAGACATGCTAGAACGACTACTAACTGGGCTGGGGGACCAGACAGGGCTTCCTGGGGAGGTGACAATGAGAATGAGACCTGGATGACAAGAAGCACTGGAAAAAGTCTGCAGGGTCTTCGTCAGGTAGTGACACAATGTGACTTATGTTTGGGCATCACACTGGCTATTGCGTGGACAAGGGACTGGGGACCCAGAGTTGGAGCACAGGAATCAGCTTGGAGGCTGTTATAGGGATTTACTGAGCCTGATGTTTGTGTCAAACCCTTTGCAGGCCCCCTGCCTGCAAGGAGCCTTCAACCTAACAGGGCAACAGACACCCAAGTAGCTATTTTCCATATTAAGTTGTGGCCGTAAAACAAAGGTGATGAGAAGCATAATATGCCTGGGAGCACAAAGGAGGTGCTTTTCATTAGTGTTCTTGGGTGGAGCAGGTGTGGGAAGGAGGGAGGATTAAGGAAAGATTCCCCAGATTAATGCTGAAAGGGCAAGAATTGAACTTCTGCTTACCTGGGGCTGGGTTAAGTAACAAGGGAAATCAGAGAAGCAGAGGAAGTCAGGTCTTGCCCATCAGATTTTCACAATCTGGTTTGCTTCCTTTTAACATTGAAGACTTTTACATATGGGCCAAGTTAAATGACAAATCCTAGCCAGACTAGCCCCGGGGGCTCTTGGTGGCCATCTCCCTGAATCCAGATTCTTCTCCTGACTTCCACAGTCCCCATGTGCAAGTAAACTTAGCTCACGGTGTGCGGCAGTGTGCTGGCCCAAGGTATCCTCCTGAAGGGTACGGGTGCGCTCAGAGCTCCCGGGAGCATGCCCTTTGCGTCCCTTGTCACATAGTCTGGGCTCAGTCACACAGTCGTGTCCGACTCTCTGTGACCCAACCAGGCTCCTCTGTCCATGGGATTTCCCAGGCAAGAATACTGGAGTGGGTTGCCATTTCCTTCTCCAGGGGATCTTCCCCACCCAGGAACTGAACCCACACGTCTCCTGCATTGGCAAGTGGCCTTCCCATATAAATTAGCATTTTACTGTTAGTGTTAACACCTACTGAGTGCTTACTTGGCATCAGAAGCTGTGCTAAGTGCTTTGCATGTTTTGCTAGGTTATCTAATCCTCACTTCAACTCTGGGAAAGATGCTGCTGTTATTTCCATTTTATTGATTGGGAAACTGAGGCTTAGAGATTTTAAGTAACTAGTTCAAGGTCTCACAATTAGTAAAAGGTAAAACTAGGATCTGAATCTGGAAATATAACTTTAATCCTCATACTTAGGCCACTACCATTTCTTTGCCCAAGAATACCCTGATTCCCATCTTTCTAGATCCTACTTTAAGTTCTCCATCCTATCCAAGTATCTCAGAATGTTAAAATTGAATTATATCTGAGTGTTCACCTAGTCTAAACTCTTCAAATGAATTTCCAAAATTCCTTTGAATTCCTCAAAAATGAAGAAAACAGAGATCCAGAGAGGCAAAGTGATTTTCCCAAGGTCACTCAGGAAATGAGGGCTTTCCCTGAGTGGTCCTCCTTTCTCATTCTTCAGCGATGGAAGCCTTCATTCCAAGACCACCTTCTCTGGGTCCTGAAGTCCTTCATCTTCTGCCAGTCCCACTCCATCCTCATCTTCATCCTCTGCCCCAGCCTCATCCCCAGGAGAGGTCTCCACAGGTTCCTACTTTCCACAATCTCCTCCAGCCTCAACTTTGCCTCAGCTCCACATCACAGACATAGTGGTTTCCTCTGTTGGACAGTCCAGCAAACTTCCAACCCTGGGGCCTCTGGGGCCAGGACTTATCACTTCCTGGCCTCAGTATTGAATCCCAGCTTTCTACACATCATCTCTGCCCGGCTTTGCACCAAAATACAAACCCACCTCTGCCCCAATATGAAGTTTCTCTTCTCACTTTTCCTCATATCTGTCATACCTGTGCTCCAGCAAGTTACCAAATCTTTTAAAATGGTGTCAGAAACTCTGCCCTCCTGGCCCATTCCTACTGCTGAAGAGGAGGCAGGTGGGTCTGTCAGAGCCTAAGGCTACGCCCTGGCTGCTGCCTTCACGGTATCCCAACCTGCTCAGGCTGCTATAACAAATGCCCTAGACCAGAGGTCCCCAAACTTTTCGGCACCAGGGGCCAGTTTCATGGAAAACAGTTTTTCCATGGACATGGTGTGGAGATGGTTTTAGGTTGATTCAAGTACATAACTTTTCTTGTGCACTTTATTTTTAATCTAATTCTGCCACTGATCTGACAGGAGGTACCAGTTCACAGCCTGAAGTTTGGGGAGCCCTGCCATAAACCAGATGGCTTAAACAACAGACATTTAATCTCCCAGTTCTAGAGGCTGGAAGCCTGAGATCAGGGTGTCAAGTAGAGTTGAGGGTGTGGTGAGGGCTCTCTTCTAGGCTTGTAGACTTGCTGTGTGCTCAGCTGACCTCCTCTTCATGTGTGCTCATAGAGAGAAATCTTTATTCTTCTTCTTATAAGGGCACTAATCTCACCGTGAAGGTCCCACCCTCATGACTAATCTAATTACCTCCCAAAGGGCCCATCTCCAAATACCAACACACTAGGGGTTAGAGCCTCAACAAATGAATTTCCAAGGGTACACGCACCCATAATATGCGGGTATTCTGACCTCTTGACAAAATGGACCTCTTGATATCTGGACCAAAGGAGCATGCCATCTATCCCAGACCTGACTGAGTACTTGACAGGGGATGGTGGACAGGGAAGCCCCCACTAACTTCTTCCCATTCAGATGGAATGCACTTTTCACTAGGGAACCTGACACTTGGCCCCTAGGGAGATTATTCCATGCTCCTTCCTGTTTCACCCTGGACCTTTTATAGGGAATCAAATCAATAGCCTATTAATTTCCATGAGTTTTGAGCAAACTCCAAGAGATAGTGAAGGACAGGAAGCCTGGTGCACTGCAATCCATGGGGTCAGAAAGAGTTGGACAAGACTGAGTGACTGAACAAAAACGATTTCCATTCATTCATTCTTTTTTTTTTTTAACTGCACTGGGTATTTGATTCAGGATGAGAGCTTTTTTTTTGTGAGCCCTGTTGTGAGACCCAGGATGGTACCTGGGTCACCTGCCTGCAATGGAAGGCAGATTCTTAACCACTGGACTGCCAGGTAAACCCCCAAACACTCACTTCTGTAAGAGATATTTCTGAAATAACTACTTCATGCCAAGCACAGTGCTGATGACAGAGACACCGCACCTACTTGCACACGCCCCTGTCAATGCAGGAGACAGACATTAAACAAAGAAGCACCCCAGTGGATACAGAATCTCAGCAGGAGAGAAGAGCCCGGCAGGAGAGCAGCACAGTCCTAGGGGGACCATGTCACGAAGAACCTGGCCTAGATCAGGGTGGGGAGGGAGTCTGGCCTGAGAAGTCTTCCCTCCACCGTACCCATGCTTCCCTCCTGCTCCTGTCTCCCTTTCCCCTGCACCTTTTGAAATCTGCCCCCTAGTTTCATGATCTGTACAGGAAGCATAAGTGAAATCATCTCACTCTCTTGCTCAAAACCCCCTGTGACTCCTTAGCACACTTGGCACAAAGTCTAAGGTCCTCCCCACAGACTGTAAGCCCCTGCTCCCTACACCTGTTTCCTGCAGGCGCTCACCTCCCACCAGCCCCGCCTCAGCTCTGCACCCGCCACCATGCTGGCCATCAAGCAGGTCAGGCTCAAGCCTGTCTCAGGGCCTCGACCTCTCTCTACAGGAGCTCTTGACCCCCAGACATCCGCAAGCTGCTCTCCATCCTTTTCAGATCTCTGCCCAAATGCATCCCTCGGTCAACATATTTAAACCAGGAACCCTGTCCTTCCCTCTGCGCTCTAATCCTTTGCTTTAGGTTTCTATATATCTCTTTTCATTACCTACCAGTGTATCACAGGATGCATTTGTATGCTAATACTTAGTCGTTTGTTGGCTGGTTCATTTTCAATTCCCTCCCTATTAGAATGAAAACCCCAAAAGGATGAGGACTTCATGTCTTTGATCGTTGGCTATTATAGATGCTCACTAAATATTTATTGAATAAATGAACAAATTAGAGAGATTTAGTAAATTGTTGGTGAACAAATGAGCAGACAGAGAGGGGGTCTCAGAAGTCTAAATCGGGCTTGTCAGAACAGCAGGGGTGAGGAAGGATCAAGTTTGGCAAAAGAAAAAATAGGACACAGATTCTGCTAAGAACTTTGCCAAAATATGTTTATTAATTCTCTCTTCCCTCAGGTAAGGCAGCCTCAGGGAGGAGAAGGGAATGTCTTCTTGGGGACATTGCTGGAAAGAGCTTCCTACTCTTTGTGGATATCGTCGTGGGCCGTCTTCAGCTGGAAGGAGCTTCCTACTCTTTGTGGATATCGTCGTGGGCCGTCTTCAGCTGGAAAGAGCTTCCTACTCTTTGTGGATATCGTCGTGGGCCGTCTTCAGCACCCTGGACACCAGGACTATGAATTCCTCAAAGTTGACCTGTCCATCTTTATTGGCATCCAGCTCTTGGAATATTTTGTCAATGGCAGGTTGATCTTTGGTATTCTGGGGGAAAAGAAAGCAGGGGTAGTGAGTTCCACTTTCTTCAGACCTCACATCCCTCAGAACTCAGCTCAGGGCAGCCAGGGACGAGTAACTCATGAGCCAAAACTATGTGGGAGAATCCAATATGAGAAAATGGAAGGCAGAAGAGAAGCAGCTGTCTTGAGCCATCCTAGAACCAAGTCTCAACCTGGAAGATGTTGTATAACTCAGTAATCCAACCCCGCCCGGCCCTGCCTCTCTCCACTTTACAGAGAGGAAGGAATGAAGCAGCCTAAGGTGATGGAGAGAGCTATTCAGAGAGAGAGAGAGGTGGCCCCCTGTACTGCGGGTGGAAGGGGCTGGGGAACATCCTCGGGAGCGCAAACTGGGGTGAACCCACCCCAGTCCTTGCCCCCGCCACCATCCTTCAGGCCACCGCCTTCAGAGCAAGGCAGTGGGAACTTTGCCAAGAGAGGAGCCTCCCATACCTTGAGGGTGTTGGGAAGTTCCTTTGTGATCAGCTGCTTCAGCTCACTCTTGATGAGGGTATCGGAATCCCCCAGCCGAACAGAGTACTGGTGGAAGATGTTGATGATTCCCTCCAGGTAATCTTCCAGCTTAGTCATCTTACCAACCTACGTTCACCTTTAGGAGACAAGGGAGGTCTTGAGCAGTGCTTCCCCAACCCCGCAGTTCCACTGTCTCCTCTTTCCTCATTAATGGTTTAGACAAGGGCTACTATTCTGAGTCTGCTGCTCTGTTTGACCCACGGTGAATGTTCTTATTTGTGGATAGAATAGGGGGAGAAGGACATAGGATACCACCTGAAGTATAAAAGAATCAGCCTTAACTGTCACGTGTTCCAAGTGCCCCCATCTCCTGGGGAGTATAATTCAAAGAGTATTGGTCACTCAGGCTCAACTGGGAAGGGTCCTGTTGCCCAGACTGTTTCCTCTCCCCAAGCTATGGTAGTTTAGGGCCCTTCCACATGCCAGCCACCCCACCCACCTTGGCCATTCCCAAGTCCTGAGGCTGGGTCTTCCTGTCAGATCAAGAGCTGGCATCCTTGGTCCCAAAGTGCAGTCAGCCAGAGGGGGTTCAGATGGAAAGGAGTTGTGGCCCCCAACGGCTGAGCCAAGGAAAGCACACTTACCCCTCTGCAGAGAAGTCTGGAATGCCAAGAGTGTGCACAGCAGTGATGAGGAGTGCTGGGCTAGGGAGGTTTTTATAAATCAGGCTTCACCTTTGACCTCTAGTGAAGAAACATCTCTGATTCATCTTGGGGTGAGCGCTGGTGGATACTCTGTTGCTCAAGAAAAGCTTCAGAGCTGTGGCTTTGACTGCAATGCAGGCAGCTCAGATTGCACCCATGGTGCATGCCACCTGTCACGCTCATCCTGAAACAGAACGCCCATCCCTGCCACACCCACACTCCCCCCACCCCATCCCCCCAACACACACACACACACACACACATGTGCCCATCATGTTTCTCAGCCCTGGGGCAGGACTCAGCCTGCAGGTTGAGCTCTGTTCCCTGCTTCCTGTTAAGAGGCTAAGAGAACAAGTTTCAATGCCTGCGTGGCTCCTACCCAGAAAGGGAAGGGCTGGGGAGAGGCGTTTGCTAAGTATCTGTACAACAAAAACAAGAATGGTAATAAAAAACAATCAAAGTGGACGTGTAATTCTGAAACAGAAAAAGGACACTGGTTTAAAACTAAAGAAATCTATCCCAAGGGTCAGGCAGGTTGGGCTGTCCGGAGCAACAGCTGCCGGAGCAGGAGGGCGCACACCTGTGTGTGCACCATGGGCATGGATGCTCTGCTCTCCTCACCTGTCTGTGGTCCCCCCTTATGATGCTTCTGCAGGCAGAGCAGGAACCCAGGCCTAGGCTGGCTGCGGATGGCCCAGCATTTTGAAGAGTACGTACAGAGTTATTTTCTCTTCATTGTGTCCTGTTTGGTTTGCTCTGCTTTTGACAGCTTTGATTTATTTTTGATGCCCCCTTTTAGCCATGTGGGATTCCCTGGCAGCTCAGACGGTAAAGCGTCTGCCCCCAATGAGGGAGACCCGGGTTCCATCCCTGGTTCAGGAAGATTCCCTGGAGAAGGAAATGGCAACCCACTCCAGTACTCTTGCCAAGAAAATTCCATGGATGGAGGAGCCTGGTGGGCTACAGTCCATGGGGTCACAAAGAGTCGGACATGACTGAGCGACTTCACTTTTGGCCATATAAACTATTTCTGGTAATTATATATTTGTATTTATGAATTAAAAAATGCCATTTCTCATACCAAAAAAAAAAAACTAAAGAAATCTGAATATAAAGCTTAGAACTCAGTTGATAATAAAGCGTCAAGAGTGATTGATTAATTGTAACATATGTAAGATGCTAACAATAGGGGAAGCTATGCAGGACTATGGGAGCTGCCTATATTATTTTCCCAATTTTTCTCAATTTTTCCATACATCTAAAAAAGTTTCTAAACTAAAGTCTAACAAACAACTAAAGCTGTTTGCTTGTTTGTTTTAAAGCCCAAAGTCTTTGTTTTTGTTTTTTGGCCATGCTGCCCGGCTTCTGGGATCTTAGTTCCCTGACTGGGGATTGAATCCAGGCCACAGCAGTGACAGACCAGGTCCTAACCAGTGGACCACCAGGGAAATCCCCTCCTTTTAAAAGTGGGCATGTGTTGGCCACTCACATCATGCCAGGCACCGCCTTACATGAACCCTCACCTAATTCTCCAAACAGCCTTCTCTCCAACAGTGGGGTGAGTGGTAACGGTTTGCTCATTTGAAGATGAAGAAAAGGAGTTTGGAGAGGTTAAGGAACTTTTCTAAGTGCCAAATTCAAGATTGTTTGCTTTCAAAACCTTTGCCATTTTGTAATTGTTCCTTAAAACGAGAATGGTTGCTTTTTTCTTGTAAAAATAATACTTGCTCATACTTTTTATAAAAAAAAAAAAAAACTAGATTTTGGTGAATGATGCCACCTTGTATCAGACCGATCTTTTTCTTCCATTTTTTTTTTAAACACAGTCAATTCTTGATTAGCCTTTTTAAAAATCGTTTCTTCTGCACTCCTCCACACTCGCCAGCTCACTGTGTCAGACTTGGGCCCAGAGCAGCACGAATTCCGTGGTTGCCCTCCAGGAATCTGGAGTCTAATGGGTTCAGACACCTTCCTGAATCATAACACACACAGTTCACCACACATGAAGGTGGGAGATTTCTGAGCACTGATCAGGTCAAGACTAGTGGCTTGGATTCCACACTGGAATGGGGCCTTGGGCGAACCAGGGCTGCCTGGCAGGCCACAGTGAGAAGAGTGCCAGGGACCCAACTGTGCCCTTGGGCAAGCCCTTGACCTCTGTGAGCCTGCTTCTTCATGTGCGTGAGTCAGTCAACTCACCAGCCTCCTTGAGTTCCCAGAGTGGTTATGAGGCTAGCTGATAGAATATATGAGAAAAGGCTTGAAAACAGTAAAGAGCAATCTTTAAGTTGGTTTTTCTTTTACCCTTACCCACCCAGCATAGATATGGGTCATTTAGCCCAGCAGGCATGAACCTGAGTCCAGAGCCAGCCCTCCAGGGCCCAGCCCCTGGACACTGGGGGCGGTGTCCAGCAAAACAAAGAGAACTTCCTCTTTTGTGTCCTGACAAGGGTCCACTGGTAGGAGAGGCTACCCCCCAGCTTTCCCTCTGAGCACCAGCCCCTACATCTGTGGACCCGCAGTGCCTTTCAGAAGGCAAGGGAGCCAATGCAGCAGGCGAATGGCACAGTTCCTGGCATGCGGAATAATGGTATTTGCCTTACCTTCCTCCCTTCTCCCCCCTGACCCCGCCGAAAAGGTAGGATTGGCCCCAAGGGACAAGGCCAAGCCCGGACAATGTTCCCTCCTGCTGCTGGCCTTGGTGTTCCCAAGGGTATTCCAGAGACTGGTGACCTCCTGGCTGGCCCTTAGGCTGGCCCTGCCTCCCCATCAACAGGAACTCCTCAAGGTCAGGACTGTATAGGAAGGCTGATGCTCATGGCAGCCAAGGAGGATGAAGAGTATGGGCAACTCTTCTGTTGATAATTTGATACAGATGATACGGCAATGGTGGATACATGTCATTACACATTTGTCAAAACCCATAGAATGTACAACACGAAAACTGAACAGTAATGTGAATTATGGACCTTGGTTAACAACAATGCATTAGTGTTGGCTCATCAACTGTAGCAAATGGTGGTGTTTAGTTGCTCAGTCATGTCCAACTCTTTGTGACCCCATGGACTGCAGCATGCCAAGCTTCCCTGTCCTTCACTATCTCCCAGAGTTTGCTCAAACTCATGTTCATTGAGTTGGTGGTGTCATCCAACCATCTCATCCTCTACCAGATGTCAGTAACCGTGGAGGTGGGGGAGAGAGGGCTAAGGGGTGTATGAGAACTACCTGGACTTTCTGCTCAATTTTGCTGTAAACTAAAACCTCCCTTTAAAAATAAAGTTTGTTAAAAAAAAAATACTCCTGCCTCTAAAGTCACTCTGTACAAAAAGTAATAGGATACTGTACAACAAGAAACAACCTTTTCAAATAAATTTTGAGCCAAATTTATAGAGATTCACCTGCACAACTCCCTCTATGAAGTTAGTCAAAATACCATGACAACAGTGAGGAACCCAGCACATCAAGGAAAATGTTAACTAACAAAAACATGAATTCATTCTAACTCTTCTAACCTCAGTGAGAAACAAATACTTGCTCTAACGTAGAAGACAGATCTTCAAGAGAATTAAACTGAATGTGATCATGTAAACACCTTGACAATGTATATTCTCTAAATTTTCATAACGCAAAGAAACAGTGACTTAAGCTGATAAATCTGAGTAAAGCATATATGGGAATTTCTTGTACTGCACCTGTAATTTCTCTGTGAGTTTGGAATTGTCAAAGTAAATTGCATCAAACTGAAATTATATCAAAGTTTAAAATTACCCTCAAAGCACTCATAGCAGCTGAAATGACTTTGTTAGTCACACTCAAGACAAGGGGAGGGGCACACACAGAGCTGAAGGTGACCAGAAGAGGCAGGTTGCAGCCCACCAAGATGGGCTCACCCTCCAAGTTATCCCAGAGCCCAGCTCTGGGTAGAGACAATAAATATGAGTGCCTGCCCTTGCAGAGGCACCCTCTCTAAAAGATGCTTCTCTAGGAGGGAAACAAACTCCCAGCTAAGCAAAGATAGGGGGAAAGAGGGGATGACATTGCCTTAAGGCAGTGGTCCCCAACCTTTCGGCCATCAACAGTCTGTTTTGTAGAAGACAATTTTTCCGTGCACCAGGGTAGGGGGATGGTTTCAGGATGATTCAAGCTCATTATATTTATTGTGCATTTTATTTCTATTATTATTACATCAACTCCACCTCAGATCATCAGGCATTAGATTCCAAAGGTTCAGGACCCCTGCTCTAAAGGATGGGAAGTTCTGAGTCTAAAAGGATTCCATTCCTGGAGATGTGGAAGTAGGCTCCGATCAACTCTAACCCCCTGAGCAGTGGTGAGCAGAAGGGCAGCACGGGTTCCTTCACCTGGCAAACACTTCCTAAGCCCTTCATATCTGCTGATCACTGCTAGCCAGGC